AATTAATCTGTAGCAGAACTGTTTGCTGTATTCCCCAAGGGTTGCATGCATACGTTAATGTCCAAACAATCAGCAAGTTTAAATTTTAAGAACTGCGTAGAAGAACTTTACACTAATTCCAGGATAGTTTTTATATCAACATTCACACATCTTTAGCATTCACAATGCAAAAAATTGTTTAATTATCACATTGGTAATAATACTTTGTGTTCATGGCTTCTTTATGAAGTAGTTGTTCATAGTTATAATTTAGGAATATTTACATAAACACCACTCAATTCCTATGTATTTGCATATCTAGCACCTAAACTTAATTTTTTTACATATCATGACAAAGTGTATTTCACTTTTAAGAAGTCCTAATAGTGATATTTTTTTAGGCATAATTACATACATAGCACCACCTGAAACATTGCTATTTAAAAAATCTAGCACCCCAGGCAATATTTTTGAGCTACCGAATCGATGTATTTACACATGCCACTATGAAACCATTGGGAATTTGATAAAAATTCATCATGAATTTTGACATTTGAGTGAGAATTTGAAAAATGGATGAATGAGGGTGCTAGATTTTTAAATAGAATGTTGAGGGTGCTAGATTTTTAAATGGGTGCTAGATTTTTAAATAGAATGTTTCGGGTGCTATGTATATAATTGCCTCTATTTTTTATGAGATAAAAGATTTGAGTGTTATAGATGTAAAAAGTAAATTTTAGGTTTTAAATATGTAAATATATAGGAATTGGGTGGTATATATGTAAATGCCCATATAATCTATTATGGTTGGTTTGTTTTTATATGTTGTTAGTGGCATGATCAAAACAACTTATATGCTATTAACTATTGTTTTTCCTTTGACAGAGGCTAGTTCGATTGACAATGGAGCACCCGCAGTACAGGAGAAACTATTATTGTGACGCTTATAATACGGTTTTTCTTTACCTTTGTTGTCACTTTTCGTTATTAGATTTTAGTTATAGTGTTAGTTTCTCTTATGATTAGATGTACTTTTATTCAATGCACCATGTTATTGTTTGTAACATATTTTATGAACTGATTTTCATTAATAAGCATTATTAATATTTTTTTTCTTTTTGCGTGATTTTTTTCGCCTTTTTCATATGCCTTTTACAGCCCTGGTTGTTCCAAAAAGACATTTATGCTTCATGACTGGTGCTTTCTGTCACATCCAGTGCCCTTTGTCATACTTTTGCTACCATAAGTATATTTGAGATCACGTCAAAAACACCGCAATGGCTAACTTTTTAAAAGTGAAATACATCTGTTCATCCTTGGTTTTTAAGACCAAGGTGTTATAAATTTAAATGTAAAATTTTAGGTGTTAGATATGAAAATGCATAAGAATTGTGATATTTATGTAAATTTCCCGAATGATTTTCTTTTGTGTCCGGTACTTTTATCTTTCACATTTCGCAGCCATGCTGTCCTAAACTTTTGATGGTTAAACTCAATATCTCGTGCTATTTTTTCTTAGCCTTTTGTCTTTTTTATGAAAAATGGCTCTTTTTTCAAAATAGTGAACTTTAGTCGCATCAACATGCCTTTCCCTCTATTAGAAATCTTTCATATCCGTCAGTTGGAAAGATGATTAATATCAGATAGATTTATTTTGGGATTACACTTGATTGTAACAAGTTGAATTCTACGTTTAAAATTCTTATATCTTTGTTTAAATTTTTATTAATTCAAAAAAAAAAAATCCTTGGGAAATGCATATTATATTCTATTTTTATATGTATATGCAGTTTTTGTTTTTGTCATAAAAAAGATGTGCATATTCCTATGAAATTATCAGTGCAGTTTTTCGGCGTTTGCAATTGTTTTGCCTTACTTTTTGCCATTATATTGAATTTTTGTTGAAGATACACACAAAGGAAAAGATGGGGATGTCTAGAGAGCGGATTATGATAGAGGAAAGGAAGAAGGGTCAATTTATGTTTTCATGTTGGACAGTTTGATCTTTGGGATTGCCTGATGCTTATGTATGATGATATATTTGTACATGTTTGTAAGTTAAAATAGCAATGAGACGGTGTATTGTTCTTAGGATTAGTTGAGAGATCTTTTTTGGTGCTGGGATGCGATATTGTTTGTTGATAGCGGACTTGTAAAATGCTGATTAAGTTATAGATACTTCGAGTAAAGTGCTAAAATAGTCCTTTGACCAAACATGGGGCTATTTCAGTCTCGGAGTAAATAAAAGTGTTAAATTAGTTGTCGTGTTTTTTAAACTGAGCTGAAATAGTCCATGGGGAGGACTGTTTTTAGCTCCTATTACAAAAGTTTGTAAACTAAATTGACACTTTTATAGACTCTGGGACTAAAATGACTCCTTTGCAGAATGTTGGGTACCATTTTGACACTTATATCTAAATACTTTAGACAGTTTGAGGGACACATTTCAGACTTGTATTCATCTGGTGTATTATAGATTTTTGATATCATATTTAGCACGTAAATTTGAGTAAAATATCTTTGGAGCTCTTTCTCTGTTCCTTCAAGGCCTATCTTTCCAACTTCACTCTTTCGGAATTTTCGATCCTTTGATGCTAACAATTTCTTATAGTCAGCCTGTGGGATTTACTGAAATGGGTGGGCGTTGATTTACAAATTGGTAGTACTATAAAATCTACTTCTTTGATGCGCACCATAGCTCAACTTTTTGCAGCATCCATCATTAAGAAAGTTACATTTGAAATTGGCTTTCATAATCACGTATTCAACTCTTATTAATTCATTTAGTTTTTTTTATAACCCTTGGTTGGCATTGCGACAAGGTGGCACTTTTTAAAGAGATTACATTAGCAAACTAATGAATTTTAAGGATTTAGCAAGAAAAATAAATTTTATTGATCACTAAATTATCCTCATAGTACTTGCAAGTTAGAGGATTATTTCTTTTAAAATAGGAATTTTCAATCGTGATTATCTGGCTAACATGGTTTTCAATGAATAATTGTTTATTTGATTTTATTCAGGACTGGATTGTTGTGCCACTGGGCGATATGTCCAAGGTAATGAAGTCAAGCAGCATGCTTTCTGTTGATTGCGAGATGGTTCTATGCAATGATGGTACCGAGGAGGTCGTGAAAGTATGCGCAGTGGATAATAAATTAAACGTAATTTCCATAATGCATTGTGTAAAAAGTTTTTTCAGACTATGCATGCATTATCCTTCTTCTTCAGTACCTTCTGAATTGATATATTATGTAAAATCTTCAGGTTAAACTAAACAAAATTGTGAATCCCAACAAATCTATTTCTGATTATAGAACAGAGATAACTGGTGTTTCAGCTAAAGATTTGGAGGGAGTTACATGCTCCTTGGTTGATATACAGGTAGCAATAGTTGTTTTGTTCTATTTTATTGTGGAGAATTCTGTTCTAAACTGAACTTTTGTAGGGTTCTATGAAGAAGCTTTTGAAGCATGGAACTATTCTAGTTGGTCACAGTGCACATAATGATTTGCGAGGTAATTAGACTTGACAAACTAGAGTTCAATACATCTTTATATTTGAGTTTCTCTTTTAATTGTAAATTTTATTTTATAACATTCTAATTTAACTATTGTAACATCTATAGCATTAAAAATTGCACACCATCGAGTGATTGACACATCATACATCTTCAAGTACTCGGAAGTTCGTCTTACTTATACACCTTCACTGAACAGTCTGTGTAAGGCAAGCTTTAGATTCAAAGTTGTATTTATTAAGGATTTCAGCTATTAATGTTTCTCATATCTTGTACCTGCGACTTTTTATTGAACATAATCTTCTTGTCTACGTTTTCTTTTCTTTCCCTCAACCTTGTTGCCGCACCATGATACACCATATACATTCTTAGATTATACTTGGATTAAGGCCATCATGTGATCAGCTATCATGAGGTATATGGATTTTAGCCCAGAGAAATGGGAAATTGGTGTAAGTTTGACAATGTTCCTTTAATTTGAAGCTATGGTTTTTTATGTGGTAGGAATTCCCAATTTGATGGCCTTGGACTAATAGACGTACTTATGTTCATAACATTGAAGGAAGAATGGCATGTTTAGAAGTATGAAAGATCAATCATGAAATTCATATATAGCTGCAATGGAAGCAATTTGTGCTGGAGTTGCTGCATCTATCCAGTTTGCTGGCACAATCTTGTTCATAACATTTTTGCTATATGTGGAACCCATTTGTGCTGTCTTGCTGTTGGCACTTCATAAAGATGTTAACAAAATTTTTGTCTTCTACTTTTTTACAACTTCAGATCCCATGAATTCAGATTGTAGAGTGATGAGCATCATGCTTTATTTAGCTAAGGCATCGGCGACTCAATTCTATATGCCCGCCAACATATAGGCAAATTAAAATGTGTGTGTGTGTTGTATACCAGGGGGAGGGGTCTCTGAATTGCCCCTTTCACCTATCTTTCATTTTGCTTTATTAATATCCTTGCTTGCGGGCTTTTCAAATATATATATATATATTAATTTTTAAAAGAAAGTAGACACGCATACATAAATGAGAGTTTAAACGTTTGAGTGCTTCGTGGTCATCATGTAAGATGATTTTTTTTTTTTGCATAAGGTATCGCTCCAAATGTTTTGGAGCTTGTACAGTGATGTATAGATTTTGTTCATATGCTGTCTATGCCTCATTAGGTTTTACGTTGAAGGATTCTATAGACTGATTTTCTTGGGTAAAACAATACTTATCTTGATTATAAAGGCATCACAGTTTAATTGCAAAAACTCTGATCGGAACTCTAGTATATAAGAATTGATGCTAGGTTGAGATTATCTTTTTGGAGCACTAAACTTTCATTCTATTTTGATCCCAATATAAATTTTTCTTTCTTATAACCAATTGTGAGCGGCAAAACAAGCATGCTAAAATTATGAATGAAATGATAATAGTTAATTGTGAGACTATGGAAGCTTTAAACCTGATAAACATTTTGTGGGCATTAACCAATTTCATTGATAATGAAACTGGGAAGCAACATCTGGTCTGTGCTAAATTCACACTTCCTTGAATTGAGTGGCATTTTATTTTGTTCCAATACTTCCAGGATTTTTTTTTTCATGCCTAATAAGTGCTTCTCTTTCCCCTAGCTATAAATCAATGTCATCAAAATATATGGCAGCAAACTTATCTGTAAGAGGTTTCATGTTTAGTTTATTATTAGTCGCTTAAAAACATTTAGCGTATTGCACGATTTTGAGGGCATGACCTTCCATTAGTATGAGTCAGTTGTAGTTTTGAATGCCATCTTCCACTTTTCTTCGAGCTTAATGCGGATTTGATGATAGTTGCTCTTGTGATCCAACTTAGAAAGCATGTTCGATCCCTCTAGTTTCCTTGAGATGCCCTTTTTTAATGGAATATGAAAGTGTTCTTGGTTGTAGTTTTGTTGGTGGCTTGACTTTCCACACTCTTTTGCCGAGGTTCGTGCTTCTCAGATCTAATAATGTTAGTGCAATGCATGGACTAAAGCTCACGAGATTAGTCTGGCTAATAGATCATCAAGAGTGCTTTGTAAAATCTCACGCTCCTTTCGGTTCATGTGGTAGCGCGGTAGATTGGGTAGATTAGAGCACGAGATCAAATCAATGTTTGGTTATACATCGCATGTTGGTGATAATGCATTTGGCATGTCTGTGTCATGGAGATTTATAATTTAGCAAGTATATTGTCAATTTTAGGAGGCGTACTCAGGGACTAGGATATTTAACAATGTGGGTTTTATCTGGTTGCAAGACGAAGCTGTACAATCTCCTATTGTTTTCATTGGAATGAGTAGGTATTGTTATTTTGCCAATTTATAGCTTTGACATTTTAGTGTCATGGTTAACCAAGAAGAGCCCAACGCATGTTCCTGTGCAACATCATGGACAAATTCATCTTGATATAATTTACTGATAAATATTGGAGTGATGCATACTTTTTTGATCTAGTTAATTTTATAGGGACTGGGTTGATTTTTAGTGGGTGGGTTAACAATACAAATTAACTTTTTGGAAGCCATATTCTCTTAGCTTCTATTCTCAGTAATGTGTTGCAAATCTTCAAATGGTGCGGTGAGTGTGAAACATGGAGTGACATTACATCAGGGATCTTCTGTAATAGCTCGAACTATCATCTATTGAATTATTCTCTTCTTTGGCCTAATGTCATCATTGTTTCTTCCCATTAGTGTAACTTCTCAGGATCTCGCCAGCCCGGGAATATTCTCACATGAGCACACTTAACTTTGGAGTTTCTGATGAAATTCAAACCGTTACACCAAAAGGCACTCTGATGTTTAAGAGTTCAGCTTCATTATATTGAAGGAGTTTCACATCTTCGTGGTCTTCCTCGATGAAATTAGTCACCTTGATGTTCTCTTCATTAACTTCACACTTTCTATCATTATCACTTTCTTTGCCCACCAAGTTCAACCTTTTGTTGTGGGCATTCACTTGACTTATGTCTTATTTGATTACATCGATAACAATGAATTATTACAATTGCAGGTGATGCTGCACTCTTCTCTCTATAATCCGCCTAACTTATGATGGTGAGATTGACAACTTTGGATAACTTTCAGGTGGATTTTAGTGCTCGCCAATTGCGAAGGATCTTTTAGCTCACTGGGATAATAGGACACTGTTTATGGAGGTTCTCGCAGGCATTGAGGTGATAAAACTTCTCATGTATTGCTTAATTGGGCGTCGCCTCTGCTAATATTGTTGGTATTATGTAATATTTAATCATAATCAATTGATAGAAATTATTTCTTTAGCAACCTTAGCATTCAAGTCCAGGAGTGGATGTGGTGCTTGTCGTCTTGTCATTGGTGAATCTGTATTTTCTCCCACCAAGCAATACCTTTAAGCTTGTAGCGCTCTTTGGTAACAAATTTAGTAAATTCTGTAAATCTGGGTTTAATAAATTCTGGCAACACCATGATTTAGCAAATATGGAATTTAAGACAAAATTGAGAAGAAACGGAATTACTAAATGTAGGATTTATAAGTTGCCATTTTCTCCGTCTGGTGAAATTTAAGTTAAATCCAACTTAAATGTGCGACTAAGCAGCCTATTTATATGTCCATGCAATCAAAGAAGGTTTCTACTAATTTAAGCCCATTTATACTTACAATTAGGGCTGTCAAAATGGCTCGTTGTTCGCGAACAACTCGTGTTCGGCTCGTTCGCTAAGTTAACTAGTCGAACACGAACAACACAAACAAATATTTGTTCGTTCGTGTTTGGCTCATTTTGACTCGAAATACTGCTAATCAATTATATATATATACATATCTTTGATGAGTAGTATTTTTAAAAAATTTGATTGACCATAAGGCTAAAAAAATTTAAAATCAATTAAAAGTATTAATGAAGAAAATATAATAAAAATTATTAATTTAGACTCAAATGATTTTTAAATCTTGCCCCAATCATTAACATCTTATGACTACGTGATTAGGGTTGTCAAAACGACTCTTTGTTCGTGAACGGCTCGTGTTCGGCTCGCTAAGTAAACGAGTTGAACACGAACACACTTTTTGAGCTCGAACTATAAACGAGCCGAACACGAGCGAGCCCACGAGCCGAACACGAGCATACTATAGCCACACTTAAAAATGGGATCTTGCTTTAGTAGGTTGTTTATGAAAAAACAATCATTTGACAGTTCTCTCCTTGCACCTACTTGTCATATCTCAGAGATTAAATGTACATTCAAAATATTTATTCTCAATGAAATATTCTTCCTTATTAGAGTTACGTATTATGAAAATTATTAGTTTATGTAATTCGGAGTCTGACTCATCTTGAGTTCCCCCATAGTGACCCCACCTACTAAGTGCTAGAGGTTATGACCAATATGTGGAACTTCAAGTTGGGTAGAGAAGAGTTTGAAATTTCTAATTGTGAGGGCTCCTTGTCTAGTTTTCTAAGAATAGTCAATAGAAAAGTCCTATGACTAGACCTTAGGCTACTAAAGAGGAAAAACTAAACCTCAACCAAAGTGAGGTCAACAGTGCAAAATACCAAAAAATTTAAATTCAGCAGCATTGATTCTGAGCTTGAAGAAAAGTTGAATCGTATGTTTGGTAGAGTCATGGCCATGGGCAATCTTGTTGGGCTCCAAATGAGAAAGGGCTTGCTGACATAGCTGAGCTTGTAGATGTTGAGCAAACTATTTGCTCCAATGAACACCCCAGCCCTAACTTCGATGAAGTTGAATTTACTAGTCGATCAAAGCATCTTATGGTTGAGGAAAAAAATGATGGTACAGTTTTCATTACAATCCAAATTTCATTGTTGTTTCACGCACCAATGTCCCTAGCACATCACAAGCAAATTTTGCTTACCAAGTGAAGCGAATTCTGGAAGTAACTCCAGAAATTTACGAGGATATATCGTTTTACTTATTCTCTATGAAGTTGCTTTAAGACCCAACCCGGAGAGAGTTCTTCATGTCGTCGACTCCTGACAGTTGGGTCAGTTACTTGTGTTATTTTCATTACAACCGGGATGCATCAATTTTATTTTATTTGTTGGACACTTTATATTTGATTTTTATGAGGACATTATTTATGCTAATTTTAATATGCTTGATTTAGTTCTTAGACACCTTCTCTTTGATTTTTATGAGAAAATGTTTGCAGGACTACAACCTCTGCATTGCTTCTCGAATTTTCGTTAACATTTTTTTTGTTTAATTCACGTTCTAGCAAATTCAGTGTTATTTATATGTGGTAGCTACATAAATATTGAATAACATGAATAAAGAAAGACGCAGAAGAAGAATTACATCCGCGTTATGCTTTATGTATGAGTATTATAACTTATATATTACTCTCTTCTTGCATGAAATTCACATTTATGTATGGGTTGGGGAGTTGCTTGTGGGTTACCCAACAAGATTTAATAATATGTTTCGTATGACACAACCCTTATTCATTGATCTATTATAAGAATTGCACATGAATTATATACTTCATGTGTCCTTCACGATGACTTCCAGAGAGGTATTAGTATAACTCTCTACAATTTATCTCAAAATGAAAGTACTATAGGAGTCATGGAGGGATTATGGCTCTCATTTGAAACAATCAGTAGATATTTTTCAATGTTTATTGTATTTACTGTTTGTGAAATGATGTACATGTTGAATCTCAATTTGATGCAATTTTTATTTTCAATTTTTTTGCATGTATTTTTTGCCCACATGGATGGCCTTTGAGGCAACAATGGGTATAATATTTCATGTGTTTATTTATTGCATGTTTTTTTTGGAGGTCTATGATGAGATATTCGATTTTATGGGTTCTTCTGAATAACCTATATGTTGCTATGAGTTCTTAACACGTATGAAATCACTATCAAGGCTGCCAAATACCCCTTCTTTTTCAGTCGTATGATTGTTGGGGTTCTTTTGGACGAACTTTGTGTTGATATGCATCTGTGACACATACGAGCTCGGTATTATGTGGTTTAAAAACAACCAAGAACGTTTTTTTTTTAAGTTCTATGTCTTCTAGTTTTGACAAATTATTCATGATTTTTTTAACTTTGTGCTCTCAGACCTCACAACTTTATAAATCTTTAATTGTGTTTTCTATTATTCTTCTTTACTAATGTTCCATCTAAGGGTCTATGCTTTGTGGTTTTAAACCTTTAAAAATTATGAGCTTGAGGACTTCAGGTGCCTCCAGAGCAATTTTACTAATACTGTGAACTATAGTGTTCTCTGCTTATTTCGCGACAGATGCATAACTATCGATGCAATGAAGAACCCCTTTTTTTAGTCGTATGATTGTTGGGGTTCTTTTGGTTGGCCTTTGTGGTGATATGCATCTGTGACACGTACGAATTCGGTATTACATAGTTTAAAATCAACCAAGAACCATTTTTTTAAAAGTTTTACTGCCTTCTTGTTGTGATAGATTATTCGTTGATTTTTCATTTTTGTACTCTAAAACCTCACAACTTTATAAAACCTTGATTGAATTGTGTTTTCTATTATTCTTCTTTACTAATGTTTCATTTAAGGGTTCGTATTTTGTGGTTTTAAACCTTTAGGAAATATGAACTTGATGACTTCCGGTGCCTCTAGAGCATTGTACTGCTATTGTGGATTACAATGTTCTATGCTTACTTCGCGAACAAAACATAACTATCGGAGACAATTTTACAAGTGTCAAAGGAATAGTTAGAGAACTGTGACTTCTTCACGTGTGTGGATCGGTACGATGATTCCACCGCTGTTAGTAATCAGGCGTGGAGAGCTTTGTTTGAGGAGAGATTATCTCGTGACATTAATCGTCTGCATTTTAAAAATAATATTTAGAGAACTGTGATTTCTTCAGGTGTGTGGATCGGGACGATGATTCCATCGCTGTTAATAATCAGGCGTGGAGAGTTTCGTTGGATGAGAGATTATCACGTGACATTAATCGTCTCTATTTTAAAAATAATATTATGATAATATTAGTTGTTATTTTAATAGTCATATTCTTTATTTTGATTGTTGTGTTACTTTTTGTTTAGTGAAGTATCAGTTTTTATTATGTGATATTCAAACTGGATCTCTGTTTTCATGTATGAAATGTGCAACCGTGACTTAATATGCTATAAAAAACACAATACTACAAGAGACAAAAATGTCATTTATTTATAAACAACTGCAGCACAACTGTTGCAAAATTACAAAAAAAAAAACAGACACAACTTTCCTGCAGCAGTTTCTGCACAACTGCTTCCTAGTACAGCTGCTGCGCAACAACTTTTTAATAAACTGCAATTGCCCCAAACAGGGGGGTGGGGATTGCATTTACATACATACCACTCAATTGCTATGTATTACACATCTAACTCCTAAACTTTGCTTTTTATATTTACACCATCCAATTTTTGTGTATCACATCAAAACTAAACACTGTTATAACTTTTAAAAAGTGAAATACACCTTTCGTTTGTTTGTAGTTAAGGTAGTATATACATAAATATTGAAGTTTAGGTGTTAGATATGTAGCTACATAGGAATTGAGTGATATGTATGTAAATTTTCATAAAATAAAATAAAACTTTAAGTTGCTCATAGTTTAGGTGAACACCACGATGGATGTCATAAGGACATTCATTTTAAGATGTATGTTTGGATTGCGGTGAAAATCTATGCCTCTGTTGTCTTTGGGTTGGAAGTCTTTGTTCTGATATCAATTAGGCGCCACGCGACCTAGTGATTTCTTGCAGAGGACGCGTTGAAGAAGCGTCAATCCCAATGAAAAGGCCAAAACAGAAAAAGATTCATTATTTGAGAAGCAAAACCCCATGTAAAAAACCTCTGCTAACCATTACAACTATATCTCTGAAGTATTAGACAACATGTGTTCTATTGGAAAATAAAAAAGGAAAGATGATTTAAATACATACTTCGCAATTCCTATGTATTTACATATCTAACACGTAAACTTCAGTTTTTACTTGCATGCCACCTTACCTATGCATGAAACAGTGTATATCAATTTCTAAAAGTTAAAATGGTGGTTTTTTTTTTTTGGTGATATGAAAGATTTGGGTGGATTACATGTAAAAATACAGTTTAGCTGGAAATGAACCATAAAAAATAAAAATAAAAAAAACTGAACATGAGTATTTGTCTAACCGAAATAAGAGTATAGCTAAGTGTTGACATGTTATCTACTCGAACTATACAGTTTCTGATTTGTTCTTTGATGAGCTCATCTCTTTCTTTTCCACTAGGGAATGATTTCAGGAATCCTACATGTAATAATGAGCAAAACCTTATTCCTTAGAGTCCGTTTGGGATCACTTTTATTTATTATTTTCTATCTTTTATTTTTTTATTTTACTTTATTTATACTTTTATTTGAAATAAAGAATGTTTGACTTATTTGATTATGATATAGGTATTTTTTAAACACATTTGTACGGGATACAAATAGCCAATTTTTATTTTTATTTTTACATTTATCTTTGCAGGCTGTGCTGGGCTATGAAGTTCGGAAGGAAGGCGAACCACATGATTGCCGAATAGACGCAGAAGCTGCCATGAAGCTAGTTCTTGCGAAGCTCGGGCACGGATTTGACGAGCCTCTTAAAATTGATAAAAGAGTATGTAAATGGTCTCTTTCTTTCCTTCTTTTATTTTGCAAAACATACCACACAAATCTTATACATTCACTTATCTAACACCTAAAGTTTGTTATTTACATTTATAATCCTTTTGTATTAAAAACTTATGGATGAAAAGATGTAATTCATTTTTAAAATGTTAGTGATAATTGTATTTTTTAGGTGATGCCAAAGATTGAGTGTTATGTATATAAGTATAAAAATTTTGTGGTATCCATGTAAATGTAAATTTCTTTTTGCTTGAATCTATTGACCTTAGCTATATTTTTATCACTCTCTAGGTGCCTGATTTCAGTCATGCAATGCTTCTGCACAAAATTCCGGTTGAGGTTCCTTGTCAAGAACTGAAGAAAGTATTTCCTCGAGATTTTTATGTTGATATAAAGGTGTTATATATTACTTATGTCAAGGGGGTAAACAAGCCGAGCTTGAGCGAGAGCCGCGCTTGTTCGTGTTCGGCTGTTTGATTTTTTTTTTGTTCAAAATAGACTTATGTGCAAAATTACTCGTAAATAACATGTTTATATTTGGCTCAATTTGAACTCGTTTGTTTGATTCAAGCTCATATTTGTCTCGAAGTTAGTTGAAATTATTTTAAAAATAATAAAATATAACATTTTTAAAAAATTCAGTATGAAAAACAATATAAAAATGTTATAATAATATTTTTTATTTAATTTTTTTAGTTAATTTAGGCCAAAAAGAGCCAAATAGGATCAAACAATAGCCTGTTCGTGTTCGACTCGCTTGCTTAATGATTGAATAGAACGAGGTAATTAGGGAGTCGAATACAAGTTATTCACGAACGGCAGGCTTTTTTGATTGCCTTACTTATGTCATATCTTGACATCTTATTAGGGCCAGAATACTAAGGATAACATTGCAGGCTGATTTAAAAGTTCGAGGTCCTTTTTATTCTACACATGCTATTTTCAAGGACGATTATGAGGCAAGCATTGCTTTCCGAAGGATAGATGGACAAGAGAGGAAGGTATGGATGTAGTTATACTATTACTTTCAAGTCAATTTTGCTTGAAATTCATTTAGAAATCTGAATTTTGAGTTGTGCCTGAAAGAGAACACTAGCTTTTAGCTTCTGTAGTGAGAGTTGTTCTTTGGGGCATTTACATACATACCTCACAACTTTCATGTATTTACATATCCAACTCCTAAACTTTCATTTTTTACATTTATAATGCTTGAAACTTTAGCATTGCATCCAAAATACCACCGTTATTACTTTTTTTAAAGTGAAATACTCATAGGTTTATGACACCAGAGTGTTGTGAGTGTGAATATCAAATTTTAGGTGTTAGCTATGTGAATAAATAAGAATTGTGTGGTAGGTGTGTAAAATTCTCTTTACTTTTTAGTTGTTGAAGAAGTAAAGTCTTGCCATGTTGTTTTGCATATTTTGATACTTTCATATTGCTTATTTGCTTCCATTCTGTTGTATGCATCTGTTTGTTACTTATTCGTCGAGGATTAGACACAGATTGAATTACATATTGTCTCGACATTTATGCTCTTGTTGGTATTTTTTGAGTACTTTTGGGGACTTCATATTTTTGGGACATTTACATGCACACCACACAATTCTTATGAATTTACATACCTAACATCTAAACATTCATATTTACATACATACCATTCAGTTCCTATGTATTTACATATCTAACACCTTCAATCTTTATATACTTATCACCTTACCTATGCATGAAAAGGTGTATTTTTTTAAAAGCTAAAATGGTAGTTTTTTGTTGTGATTAAAGAATTGGGTGGTATATACGTAAAAAATACCATTTTTGTGTTAAATATGTAAATACCTAGAACTTGGGTGGTATGTATTTAAATGTCCCCATTTTTTAAAGGAATATTTACATACATACCACACAATTCGTATATATTTACATATCTAACTCCTAAACTTCAATTTTTACATACATACCGCATTCCTTATGCTTGAAAAGGCGCTTTTGTTCACTTTTTAAAAGTTAGCATGGTGGTATTTTTTATGTGATCTGAAGTGAAAATTTTGGGTGATATTAACCGAAAAGGTAAATTTTACATGTTAGAATGTAAATAGATATGAATTGGGCGGTATGTATGTAAATGACCTTGTTTTTCAACTATACCAAAACAATATTTTTTATACTGATTCATCCCTTTTTCCTCTAACCAAGCTTGGCTGATTCTCACCATTCAGGACTGTGAAGGCCGTCCCCAGAAACTTGTATGTCTAAAGCTCAGTACAGGACAGCTTACCAGCTTCTACGTCTGCAAAACTATGTCTTCCTCCCCACCTGAAGATTCAAAGAGGCAGAGAATTTCTTCCGCCATTGATGCCAATGAGGGCCGAGCTTGCTCATCCGAACCCTGTAAACATGCAGAAGAAATCTTCAGACTGAAGCAGCAGCTTAGTGCCAGGGAAGATGAAATATTTAGCCTGCAAAGGATTCTTTCAGATCTTACTAGAGGTTAGCTTCCCATGTAATTTTACATTTTTGCTGTATGCATGTTTCATAAAATTTTGTTTGTCTCGTGAATTATTTTCTTAGATGCATATTTATTTATATTTGTTAAAAAAATTAAAAGTGATCTTGTTTTGATGTGGCATTTAATTGTAGTTTCTTTTTTTGGGGCATTTACATACATACCACACAATTCCTATTGATTTACATATCTAACACCTAACTTTACTTTTTGTATTTATACCAAGCAACATTTTCATGATGTATCGAAAATACTATCATTTTAACTTTTAAAAGGTGTGATATATATTTTCATGCATAGGTAAGTGGTGGCATGTATGTTTTGTTGTTAGATATGTAAATACATAGAATTTGAATGGCATGTATGTAAATATTTTTTTTTAAGTAGAATTAAACGTGTTTAAAAGTGTTGTTATATATATATATGTGTGTGTGTGTGTGTGTGTGAATCCAAAAGTGGCCGGGAAAAACACCCAAGGAATAAAACGTTCTGTTAGGAAGTGATCGGGAGAGAGAGAGATAGCAGTAGTAGACATAAAAAAGATTATCTTATTCATGATATGGACCCCTATCTATAGGTCTAGATTCCAATATTACAAAAGTACATATTAGTCTCATTACTATTAACTTTTCAGCAGGGCTTTTTGGTAATTACAGAGTTATTTGCATATAATAAAATTGGTGGCTAATTTGATCGATGAGGGTTATCGATCGCTTGACAAGCCTTAATTCAATTGGATATATAGTCTGAAATAGTGCTTCTCGTTGATTGTCTTAAATGTTGATTTCGACCCTATTGGAGTTTCTCTTAACGCCTTATGTCGATCGTTTGGATAAGGTGTTTTCTTCTCCAATGTTCATCCAATCGTCGAAGGCTGCGTTTGATCGTCCACATCTTCCTGAGACGACCATTTGCTTTGAGATTTGTGCTGACATTTTTTTGTGTGCTTATTTAGTTCTCTAATTTTCTTGCTCATTGGAAGTTTTATAATATGAGGATAAGAAAATTTTTTAACACATGAAATAATTAAATTATATTATTTTATAGTAATGGACTTCCCTGGATTTCCGTGCCATAAATAGGTTTTGGGGCAAGGGAGGTCTCCGTCTCTTTTCGCTTTGTTTCGTGGCATTCTCTTTACATGTTTTTCGTGATGTCTGGTGAAGGAATACCACCTTCCAATAAGAGTGTCCTTCTCGAAGCTATGAGTGACATGCGGGCGCGGACTCATAAGTTAAAAGTGAAGCGCAACCTATGAGGGTGAATTGACAATGTATGCTTATCATATGTTGTCGAATTTAAATTATTTTAAACATGAAAATTATGTTGAAATATGTATGTCGTATGTAGGGTTGTTACCGATCCAATTTTGAGCCGAGTCTGCTCGAACGGATTTAGTGTAGCTAGAAATCAACTCGGATCTTGTTATATTCCATTTCGAGCCAACTCGGCTCGAAATTGAATTGATCCGGCTTGAAATCGAAATGAGCTTGCTCAAATTGAGTTATTTGGATTTTTTCAGGCGCCAAATTGGCTGTTGGTCGTTACATTCAATTTTATTTATAATATTTGTTGATAAAAAATATTTCAAACCGATCTCGGCCCAGCTTGATCCAAATGTTTTGCTCCTAGCACTTGTTTGTTTCAATCTGAGTTAAAATTTGAAGTGGTTAATGATCTTCGAGCTATAGCCTTAAGATTAAATTTATGAATCATTATTATCATTATTAATTTTCTATTGAGCGAGGTTTAATGTATTTTACATATTCTTTTGTAAATCATTTCAAATGGTTACATTTTTTTAAGTGTTATTTCTTGACATTCATAGAGCTCTCCCTATTTCTTGACCTTTTATGACCCGTAGAACTATTTGCTTTGATAAATTGTTTTACTTTCATATGAAGCATAATGAATAAAATCAACAATATTCTTCTTTTGGAATATTTACACACATACCCATGCGTTTACCTATCTAATCCCTAATATTTTTTTTTTTTTTAACATATATGACAGCTTATTTTATAAAAGAAATGATATATTTCACTTTATAAAAGTTAAGATATAGAAAATAAATTTAGGTGCTACATATGTAAATGCATGGGATTTGGATGGTATTTGTGTAAATGCAGCATTTGTTTGTCTAACCAAATCCTTTTTGTCTTAATCAAGAATATTTGTTATTGAACTACTCTGCATACCACTGGAAGAGAAAAATGACTTTGAATGGTTCTTAGTCATTAGATTTGAGATTTATCTAAATACCCACCAAACCACTAATTTAAAATGAAAATATAATTTCAAAGAAACATTTCTAGAAGATCCCTCACTTTGACCTTTTTATATTTTTTATTAATTTTTTATTTGATCTGTTAATTTCGAGTCAAATGATTTGATTATGTTAAAATAATTATCTTTGTGATTTAATATTTTCATTATTAGGAGTCCTTAAAATGCTACATGCAAAGAAGGAATCAAGTTCCTTCTGGAATTTGAAATGTATTTATATAAATAATTAAATTTTATTTTTTTCTTTAATATTTTAGACAATTTAAAGTAGACATTTGATGGTTTTGTCCGTAAAAAAAAAATAATGTTAGTTTCGCCTCTTGTTATTGATGTTGAATCAAGATTTTTTTTTTAATTATTTTGAATGTTTTATTTATTTTTTTTTAATTTTTCTGTGAAATTAAATGATTTATGGGTGGAAATATGTTTAAAATTTGATACAGTTATTTTAAAAATAATTAAATTTATTTTATTTCTTTCTTATAATTTCTAATTTGTAGATAAATTCATCAAATGAGTGCTTTGAAGTTTTAGATGTCATTTTCTATTAACTTATATTGAAACATCTTGAGATAATTTTCTTAATTTATCTATTTCAAAAAATAAAATTTTCCTATTCCAAAAATAATTTTTTAAAAAAATTTGATACAGTTTTTCTAATTTGTAAATTTACATACATACCACTCAATTCCTATTTATTTACAAATCTAACACCAAAATTTTAATTTTATGAAAATGTATATTACACTTGTAAAGTTTGGTGTGAGATATGTAAATACATAAGAATTAGCCTATGTATAAGAATTGTCTGACATGGAAGTAAATTCCCTCTCGTTCTTTTTAAATGCAATTTCACATATTATATATTTACCCCAGGGGCTACGGTGTAAAGTTTTTTTAGAACATTTTAGTCGCAGGAGGACCATGTAATTTTCCACATTTTAGAAAAAATGCGTGTTATCAAGTCAAAGCATTCTCGCATATTTTTTTCAAATTATTAGCCAATTATATTTCGTTCAACGAGACAGCACTGATGTCACATTGTCAAAGCTGGTGATGTGATTCTCATAATTATATATATATAATGTGCACGTCTCGTGAGTTGTTGGATGGCAGCTTCCGCATAAGTCTTACGTGTTATGAGTTTGAATCAATTTAGGTCGACTTAACACGTATCGGGTAGATCGATACGTGTTACCATCTATCTTGAAATATATATGTTTATATACCACAACAATTTATGTTGTTTAAATTTCTACATCTAATATTTTATTTTTACAACCAAGTCACCATATCTAGGCATATGAATCATATTTTTATTTTAAAATTTAATGATATTGATATTTTTGTATGTGATATGAAATATTTGGATGAAATAAGGGTTAAAATGAAGATTTAGCTGTTTGATTTGTAAATACATAAGTAATTGTGTGGTATGTGTGTAAATGTGCCATACATATAATTTTTGTAATCTTCTTATTAATAATATGGTCATTGAAGCTGCTAAAAGTTTTTATTTGAGACTACATAAAGTTTAAGATAAAGTTGATTGCTGACTTGTAGAGCTTTGTGTATTAAGTGGATGTGATCATATTGTGTTTTTCATTAAGATGATTTAGGTTGTGTCATTTTTGTTTTTATGCCACTTGTTCAATAATGAGAGGCTTGAGCTCTATGATTTGCAAAAAAAAGAATTACAAAAGTGACCCTTGTATAAGATCCAAGAAATTGATTCGAATTTTGCTATTAATCAAGAATACGGGTGAGAACATCAACTATTTAAATTGGAGAGATACGATATCCCTTAATTAAAATGATGTTGAAATCTTAAACAACGAGTCTTTTTGTGTAATTGTCGTCGAGAGTCCGGATGTAAGTTGCATTTGGAAAACAGACACGATGCACCGAAAGGAGCGGAAAAGAAAAAAAAAAACTCTGATGTATCACTCTCGTTATTTAGACACAGCTTCCGTCTAGACTCTGGACATAATATTTTCTTGGTCATGTGGGAGAGCTCTTGGGATGGGCGGTTTGCTGGAAAGTTTTGCAGTGCGACAATACTGTGAGGCCATTAGGCCAAATCGGATGATATATTCATGAGTGGAAATTCAAACTCTTGAAGAAATTTCTAATTGTATATTACCAATGACGATGCCACCAAGAATACTTTTCTTACAAGAAGGAAAAAATTCAAAAATCAAAGAAATTTGATTGTCGATCATATAATATATGCTTAGGGTTTACTAAATTGAATATGACTTCTATTTATAATCAAGCAAAAAATCATTGTACATTACTTATATCATAAAAATGATAAAATTATAAAGTCATACCAATAAATACATTAATTAGGCTAACTAGCTTTAAGTAAGTTTATGAAAAAGTAGTTCTATGGCATTGTTCATTGAGCAATGAGCACATGTACACTTTTATGTGAATTATATTGATTGTAATGATATTATATAATGTGGATTATACAATATTAATAAATTTTGAGTAGCCATTCCATAAGTAGTTGGGAGCCAAAGCCAAACATTTCCAAGTCATGATCTTACATTAGGATCATAAAATATTATGATATTATATAGCACACATTTTTTTTTTTAAATAGTAAGTAATGTTTATCCTACTAATAGGACGGTAAATTTTGC